GCACTCAGGCAGGAGGATTGCCACAAGTTTGAGGCCAGCCTGGGCTACATGGTGAGTTCAAGGCCAGCCTGAACTACATAGCAAAACCCTGTCTCTAAAAAACAAGCAAGCAAAAAAAAAAAAAAAAAAAAAAAACAACAAGCAAGCAAGAAAACAGACTGTTGAAAGAATTAATAAGTTTAGATAGATAGATAGATATCTCACTCGGATCATTTTCTAGCACATAATTAGCATCAGTTTCCTAATCTATAAAATGGGGTCAACAAAACTTATTATTTTACAAGTTGTTAGGCATATTAAATAAATGATATCTGTAAAGTGTTTAACATGTAACAAATTAATAAATATTAGGTATCTTTATTAAAACACAGGTGGATACCAAAAGGAATTTTCAAACCTGAGAAAAATATTTTATAATGAAATATAACAGAAAATATTGTGAAAATCTTTACTCGTACTTTGGAGCTGAGCATATTTAAGGAAACCATGAGTAACCTGGCGTACTTACCCACTTTCCACTATGTAAAATGCCTCTGAATAATTCCATCTCTTAGAACTGTCAAAGGATTTGAGTTACAGACAAAAAATACAGACAAAAAGAAAGAAAAGGCAAGAAAAAAGAAACTACAACTAAAATAGCAATATTCCTCTTGATATCACTTTGAAAGAAAACAGTAAATTAGATGGCTTATCGATTGAAAACTGTTAAAAGTTACTTAAAATTTTACTTGCAAAGAAAACAACCCTTTTATAATTTTAAAAAATTGACACACATAAAGAAATGTGCTGTAGCATGTTTTCTAAAGATCAGGGAAAATGTGGTCATAAGATTTAAAGGTCAACAAACTGGAACCCAAATCAGTATCACTTCTACTTAATCCATAAGAAAACTAAGAGCATACAGAAGTCAGGGAAAACAAGAAAATTCTGAGAAGAAGGCTGCACTCAACCGTGTCAACCAGTGAGAGGCTAAGGCGGTCACTGGAAAGTGTCCAGGACGCTCAGCAACAAGGGCAGACTTGATGGATCCAGGCGGTCACTGTCTGAGGGGGTGGGGCTGCAGAAAATACTAGATAGATCACGATGCAATGTGGAAATGATTTTCACAGAGAAAAGAGCAAAAGACAAAGATGAGTCGTAACTGTGAGGATAAGCTTCCCCGACTTGAAAATATTCAAATTGGGAATTTTTTTCAAGTTATAATTTTTATTACAATATCAATAAATACAGTATAGTGCATGGGGAGTTTAGTCCACAAGGCCAAAAGGAAAAGGATAACCTTAGTCTTTCCATATGAAAGATGTTAAAGTACAAACATTTACGATGATGAAAATGAAGATTTAAATGGAATAATGTCTTCACTAGATTTTATTAAAATACTTCTAAGAGATTCTTGGCTAACAATGAAAGGAAGACTTAACCTTTTTTGGAGATGCGATATGTGTGCCAGTCTCCATTCCGAAAGGATTATACAGACTACAGCTTAGGAAACCACCTGCAAATTCTCCTCATCAGTTCTGAATGACCATAAATATCATTCATCCACCTATCCAGACACTACTGTCTAGAAATACAATGTGAGTCCCATGTGTCACCTAAAATTTTCTAGCACACATATTAAAAACTAAAAAAAAGTGTAAAATTAATTTGAATATTGCCCACCTAATCCCACATCGAAGGATGTTTGTCCACTTCTAACCCAACATCCAAAGTATGCATTATCAACATAATCAACATAGAATTTATTGCTCAAATGTCTTTCTTTCACACTAAATCTTTGAAATCCCATGTGGATTTTACATTTGCTACACATTCAATTTGTATTTTTTTTTTATTTTAAAGAATAAAAGAAGGATAACATAATAATAGGGGGGACTTAGCAAATTACAGACAAAATGGTAGGAAATTATCAATGGTTATCGTTTTACATATTATTGTCTACAAAATAGTTTCTCAGGAAAACAAATAGACAAATAATAGTGAGTTACAGACAAAAGAGGTA